ACACATTAACTGCTCAGCTTGTGCCACCAACGTCACCACTATCAGTGCCACCACCCCACCCCTATATAAAAAAGGAACGCTACTGAAACACCCTTAGTTGCTTTGTTGAAGGTTGTTATGAGTCCAGTAATATCATTACAATAAAATCTGACCCAACCCATGGGATTATAAGATTCTGAAGTTGGAGAAGACCTGAAATCCAGCAGAATACCTAAAAATCCCCAGGAAAAATATTTGGGGCAACAATACTCACATGTAAAATGTCGGAGCATCGACTGTACTATCAATGATGAATCCACCACATCATCTGGAGTTTCTCACATTGTTGCTGACTTTGGTTTCAGCCTTCTACACCCTTTATCAGATCATCAACTAAAAAATGTCACAGCTAAATGAAGAAAAGCGTGGGTCACGTGTCTCGAGGAGGAGAACAAAAGATGAGGCTGGAGTGACATTAACCAACCAAGGATGGTCATAGAACTCCTTCAAGTCAACGAGGAACTGAAAAAAAAAGGTCTAGCAAAAGTAATGGGCATCACTCATCAGACAAAATCTTGCTTCAGAATGTCCATAGCTACCATGGGGAACTTGGTATTGGAGATGAAACATCATGGTCCAGGAGAGTTTCAAAACTCATCAACTAAAAAATGTCACAGCTAAATGAAGAAAAGCGTGGGTCACGTGTCTCGAAGAGGAGAACAAAAGATGAGGCTGGAGTGACATTGGCCAACCAAGGATGGTCATAGGACTCCTTCAAGTCAACGAGGAACTGAAAAAAAAGGTCTAACCAAAGTAATGGGCATCACTCATCAGACAACATCTTGCTTCAGAATGTCCATAGCTACCATGGGGAACTTGCTATTGAAGATGAAACATCATGGTCCAGGAGAGTTTCAAAACTCTCTTTCCTTGTGTTTTGGTAAAACAACTTATTTTTTTCATAATGTAATCATTATACTGTGTAGTTTCATAACACTAAGCAGTTTTACATATTGTGATCATTATAAAGTATAAACTATGTAAATTATTTTAAATGTATTTGCTCTGTTGAAAAGTGTTTTCATATGACTAAATCGGTTTACATATTGTAGTCGATCTAAAAACATGTCGCTGTTGAACTAAAACTGTTTTACGTGTCTTCTTTAAAGTCCAGAAGAAAAAGAGAGATATCTCTAGTTCATATATATGATCGATGTTAAAATATGTTTCAGTTTTATGTTGCATTCCTAAATTATTTTTAATATATTTGTTTGCTTTTCTGACCTACTTGTCATGCTGTGAATCTCGTTTATTCGTCGTAAGGATAAGATACCATCAAAGAACAGTTCATTCATGTGGTTACTTATATATGTATGTACATATAAATAATACAACTTAAATCCTTTATTCTTTATAAACCAGTCAGTTCTAAAAATTCAGGAAACGAGCAGAAGCTGGAAACACTTGAAACGATTTGGCGCTTTTGAAGTTAGCTAGAATTGCAATCCCAAGCTTTGCGATTGTAAAAAAAAAGTAAAAAAAAAGGGGTTGGGGAGGGAGACTAATTTAATAGTAAAGTACGCGTTCCAGAAAAACCAGATTCCAAAAATAACAAAATGTAGGTATATGCACTTTTTATTTTAGAGACTTCGTAAGTGGGAGTAACCTGAAAATTAACTGGTAACCACAATATATGTTTAAATAACAAAAACCAACAACGCAATGTTAAGTATACAAACTTATATACTCACCACGTACACCTACACACTTGATATTAGTAATTGTGATCTGCTGCTGATGCAAAACAAACAAGTCCGAGGAACTTTATGAGGCTTATTTTTCAAGAACATGATTGAGCGTTTTTATAATGTAGGTTTCCTTCGATGTTTGCACCTGTTGAGGCTCTGTCTCCCTTGACGTTATCCCAAGAGGTTTTCTTTTATATGTTTTAGTTTTTGTAGCCAGAACTAGTATGTGTGTTTTGTCATAACAAAGCCACACTGGGCGATCTGCTGTCTCAACCGAGGTAAATCGAACCCCTAATTTTAGCGTTGTAAATTCGAAGACTTACCGCTTCCCCCACCGGGAGACCCAGAACCAATGTGTACTTGCCTGGATAAAGTATTGTTATTACAATTGTTTACAGAAACTTTTCACATTTTATAAGGCATTTGACCACTAGGATTTAAAACAAATATTTTTCGTTGTTTAAAAGATGACCAATGAGCGACTTCTATAAAATAATAAAACAAAAGATTAAAAGAAGATGTTTTTCTGCTACTTCTCTTCTCGATTGAGATCTGCTACCAAAAGATAAGGTAATCGGATTGACGTATATATATACAGCTTATATCGCATCTGTGGCTTTACTTTATATCTTAATGAAAGAATTGCGCTAATTATTGGAAAATAAAGAATTCAGTGAAGTTTTAAAGTTCAGGTGAAAAGAAAGAATTCAGGGAAGTTTGAAAGTTCAGGCGAAAAGAGAGAGAATTCAGGGAAGTTTAAAAAGTTCAGGTGAAAAGAAAGAATTTAGGGAAGTTTGAAAGTTTAGGTGAAAAGAAAGAATTCAGGGAAGTTTGAAAGTTCAGGTGAAAAGAAATAATTCAGGGAAGTTTGAAAGTTCAGGCGAAAAGAGAGAGAATTCAGGGAAGTTTAAAAAGTTCAGGTGAAAAGAAAGAATTTAGGGAAGTTTGAAAGTTCAGGTGAAAAGAAAGAATTCAGGGAAGTTTGAAAGTTTAGGTGAGCTCTACGCACGTATCTATTTCCTGTTTATTGAAATAATGTGTCTTTGTTATTTTTCTAAGCTAGTGCATTAATAAATAACATAAATCTATTCACACACACACGTGGTCAAAAATAAAAAATCGAAAAGGTAATTAATTTCAAGCATACTTGGTGATTTTTATATGTGTGTGTTTGTGTGAAAACTTGGTTATTTCAGTGTGAAATATATTTCTATTTTTATAGGCAATATTTTGAAGTTTAAAACGATTTTCGGCATCATTATACTCAAAGAGGAGTTTTAGTCACCTAGGTCAGCCATGTGTAGTTAAGAGCACCGTATATTCTCAAAGTCCCTACTCTGTAACACACTATCGAGTCTATATCTATTCAAGCAGTACCGACACACTGTTTTTATTACTGTGTTCAAACGTACCTTGTAAGAAAAAGAGAGCTTCTTCTTTGAAAAGTTATAAATTATAATAAATAAAACCACTGATCTTGTGCATCTCGAGAACAGCAGCTCTACCTGATGTTATTCGATAATTATTATTAACTTCTAATGAATAGTAAGTTAGCTATATAGTTTAGAAATAAACAGTAATTTATAAATTAATCAGACCAGTTCCTATATAACAAACGGACAAGAAATACATAACATCATAAATCGGCAGAGAAAAAAACTAAACTTATTAATAATGTTTGAAAAGGGTTGAATTATCATTTTAGTAACCCGGGTATTAACGTTAATTTTGGCAGAAATAGAAATGTCTCACGCAGTTTGTTCAGCATAAATATTTATGTTAGTCCTAAATACATTTGGTGATCTAAAGATACAGAAATAATGTTATAACTTTAAAAAATCAATAATAGTACGATTAAAAAAATGTGCAAACTCTGCTTCTGTAACAGATTACCACCTTTCCCTTTCAAATTATACGAGTTTTTTTTTTCTTCTTCTTCTTTTTCTGCATCATAAGTAAGTAATATACTTGGTTTTCGAAGGTATATTCACTTACAGAACATGGCCAGGTGGTTAGGGAGCTCGACTCGCAATTTGCGGGTCGTGGGTTCGAATCCCATTCCCACCAAACATGCTCGCCCTTTCAGCCGTGGGGGCGTTATAATGTGACGTTTCAATCCCACTATTCGTTGGTAAAAGAGTATCCCAAGAGTGGTCCATAACTTATTTCTTCTTCCTAAGGCTCTGTCTTCTTTGAGATAAACCCAGAATGTGTTCTATTACTTATTTCTTCCTCCTGAGGCTCTGTCTTTCTTGAGATAAACCTAGAAGGTAGTTCATTACTTATTTGTTACTCCTGAAGCTCTGACTTCCTTGAGATAAACCCAGAAGGTGGTCCATTATTTGTTTCTTCCTCCTGAGGCTCTGTCTTCCTTGAGATAAACCCAGAAGGTGGTCCATTATTTGTTTCTTCCTCCTGAGACTCTGTCTTCCTTGAGATAAACCCAGAAGGTGTCCATTATTTATTTCTTCCTCCTGAGACTCTGTCTTCCTTGAGATAAACCCAGAAGGTGGTCCATTACTTATTTCTTCTTCCTGAGGCTATGTCTTCCTTGAGATAAACCCAGAAGGTGGTCCATTGCTTATTTTTTCCTCCTGAGGCTCTGTCTTCCTTGAGATAAACCAAGAAGGTGGTCCATTATATAAGTTTTAGTTTTTGTAGCCAGATCCAGCGTATACTTGTCTAAATAAAGTATTGTTCTTATTATAATTATTTGTTTTGAATTTCGCCCAAAGCTACACGAGGACTATCAGCGCTAGCCGTCCCTAATTTAGCAGAGTAAGACTAGAGGGAAGGCAGCTAGTCATCACCACCCACCGCCAACTCTTGGGCTACTCTTTTACCAACGAATAGTGGGATTGACCGTCACATTATAACGCCCCCACGGCTGAAAGGGCAAGCATGTTCGGTGTGATGGGGATTTGAACCCGCGACCCACAGATTGCAAGTCGAGCGCCGTAACTACCTGGCTTATTATTATTGCTTACAGAAACTTGTTCGTACTTTATAATTAGGCCCGGCATCGTACTTTATAAGGCATTTGACCGTTGGGATTACAAAAAATATTTTTAATTACTTAAATTATAATAGATAGTGAATCAATGACTCAGATAAGGTCAAATATAAATTTGAAGAAATTTTTCTGATACTTCTCTTCTCGAGTGAAATTTGCCACCAGGAGATGTATGCGTGACGTTATGTATAGGTTTTGTATATCAAAGCTGTTTCTACACTGTATAGTTCAATGAAAGAATTACTGTTGATGAGGTTGAAGATAAATTGTCCTTTATAGAGTATCGAAAAGAGAGAATTCAGGATAGGTCTTATAGTTCAGGTGAGGTCTACCTGTTTATCTTTTTCCAACAATTTATTGAAATACGTCTAGTTATTTTTCTAATTTAGTGTATTAAACAGGAACATAAAATTATTCACACTCGCATAAATATGTGTATGTTTTTAAAAATAACAACTCAAATATTGTGATTCGTGTCCTTGTTGATCTTTTAAAACTTTTCCCCCTCATTCACTCATTTCTTTTTTTTGTCTGTGAAAGTTTTACTACTTTAGGTTTAAAAATGTTTTCAAACACACTACCTTGAAATTATAAAACGACATTCGGCACCAGTTATTATTGAAGAAAGTTTTAGTGACCTAGGATCGGTAACGTGTAATTACACTTACATGACTATATCTTTATATATATATATATATATACAAGCGGTAATAAGGCAATATTTGACTTCTGGTGTTCCAACGAGATTTATACGCTTAATCAAAAATCAAGAATTTATTCTTAAAAAAAATAGAGAAGTATAAATAGTAAAGATTTTGATCTTGAAAATTTCTTGGTGATATTTATTATTAAGCACAAAGCTTCACTGGGGGTATCGAAACCCGGTTTCTAGCGGTATAAGTCTGTAGACATAACGCTGTGCCACTGGAGGGGTGGGGGCATTGATTATTTTAATAAGAACAGGAGCTTTTAATTGTTTGTTTTGCGGAAAATCTGCGCAAAAGTGCTATCTGCGCTAACCGTCCCTAATTTTCAAGTAATAGACTAAATGGAGAGCAAGCAGCCAACAACCCCCACCGCCAACTCTTGGGTTTCACTTTACCAATGATTGACTGTTACATTATAACGCCCTCATGGCTCAGGGCGAGCACTTTCAGTGAGTGGAAACAACAGCTCTACCTGATGTTATTCGATAATTATTATTAACTTCTGATGAATAGTAAGTTAACTCTATAGTTTAGAACTAAACGGTAATTTATAAATTAATAAACCCAATCCTATATATCAAACGAACAAGAAATACATAATAATAAAACTGAATGTTTAGAATGTGTTGAATTATTCTTTGGTTCACTTGCTATTAATGTTAGATCTGGTTGTAATTACAATAACTTGGGAGGTTCCATCAACTTATATATATATACTGATCTAAAATGCAAAAATAATGTTATAGCTTTAAAAAAATCAGTAATAATGGTATTCAAAATTATTTTCTGTTGATTGATACTGGTAATTTAAAGGTTTTCTGACTCGAAAAGTCAGAAATGTATTGTTTGTGAAAGGAATGATTAATAGACAGCTGATAGTACCATTCGAATATACTGACTAGACAGCTGATAGTATCATTAGAATATATTGACTAGACAGCTGATAGTACCATTAGAATATACTGACTAGACAGCTGATAGTACCATTAGAATATATTGACTAGACAGCTGAGAGTACCATTAGAATATACTGACTTGACAGCTGATACTACCATTCGAATATACTGACTTGACAGTTGATAGTACCATTCGAATATACTGACTTGACAGCTGATACTACCATTCGAATATACTGACTTGACAGCTGATACTACCATTCGAATATACTGACTTGACAGCTGATAGTATCATTAGAATATATTGACTAGACAGCTGATAGTACCATTAGAATATACTGACTAGACAGCTGATAGTACCATTAGAATATACTGACTTGACAGCTGATACTACCATTAGAATATACTGACTTGACAGCTGATACTATCATTCGAATATACTGACTTGACAGTTGATAGTACCATTCGAATATACTGACTTCACAGCTGATACTACCATTCGAATATACTGACTTGACAGCTGATAGTACCATTCGAA